ACATACTTTTGGTTCATTAGTTGATAGCTTGCAGAAGAGATCTTAGTGTCCCTTAGTCCTCAAAATTTTAATCACAGTAAAAACCTTTAAGATTGTTGAATATCACTTCAGATAGACACGTAAGGAAATAGACCAATAATATTGAATATTATATGTCGATTAGTCGAAAATAATAAATCAAATTGTTATTATAGTTACCAATTATCGTCTAGACACCATATTGATTCTTCACGTTCAGATTTTATTACTAAAAAGGTGGACAAAAGACTATTTCGTTATTGGTTGAAATTAAAATAACAAAATAACAAATTAAAACCGACATGGAGTTGTTGATCTTCGATATGTAAAAGACTTCATAGAAGAAGCTCTTTTATTTAAACGTTTTTACGCTGCTCTAAGGTTGTAAGCTTCAACGTAAATAGCCAAGATTTGTTGCAAAATATCCTTTGTTCTAAAAACTATGGAATAAGAGATAAACACAAAGCGATCAATCTAAAAACAGAAAAAACTAATATTTTGAAGTTGCAAAAATTGTAGATCTCGAATTTTGGTTTGTGGAGTACGAATCTAAGAAATGTGTATTTATAATTGCAGAAATCCAAGAAGGTAGCAATAAATACAGATATGTGATGATGAGAACCCTATCACGGCTCGAAAAATGTCAAATCAAGTTGATCCTTATCTGCAGCTGCAGCTACTTGGTCTGCAAGAAACTCGATTTGGGAGGCTACTAGAACTTTCCACAACTTTATACACAAAGTCAAAAAAAGTCAATGTCTGGTTAACATTGGTCGGGTCGGTCCAACCGACTCGACCCAAAATCACCATAAATAAAAGTTCATCAACTTCTAACGACCGATGAATCGTGCGTCTAAATCGCGCACTCATGTCAATATACGTTAGACGAACGTTTGTGAGCTTGATTCATCTTTTGATCCAATTAAACTCTATGAAGATCTAACAAAAGAAAGGTCATATAAACACAAAAAATATTTCTTCCCCAACCAATGGAATTAAAAAACAATTACCAACTTATCTATCTCTCTCTCTCTCTCTCTCTCTCTCTATATATATATATATATATATATATATATATATATATATATATTATATATATATATATATATATATATATATATCCAATAGTTCTCAAAAGAAAAATTAATATAATCTAGTAGAAATATAGCAAAGGTCCAGCCTTAATTAATTTGTAACGATCAAAGTTATCTTTGTTTGCCTGATGGGTATAAGCCAGTTGTCAAATAATGCCTTTTATTTGTAAATTTTGTGTTTGGATTGCGTTGTGTATGATTGAGTTGTTGCATTCCCACAAACTTAAAATAACATAATAAAACAACCAAGCATGAATTTGGGCTTGATATTAGACAACGGAATAATTTTAATTTCTTTTAGGCGGCGTTTGGTTAGCAAAATGTTTTTGAAGGAATTGGAATCTATTGAGGAGTTGGAATCTGTCTTGAATTGGAATCTAATTCAATATTCTGTTTGGTTAGCAGTAAATGGAATTTAAATCCAATTTTATATTTTATTTGGTTGGCGGAAAATGGAATTGGAATAGTGTAAAATGACAGAACTACCATTCTTGGTTTTTGCTTACTTTTACTTTTTTTTATATATAATTATATGTAAAGATATATTATATAAATTATAAAAATGATAAATGGCGGTGTGGCGGCGGCGATGGTGGCAGAAGCGACGGAGGTGGTGATGACGGTAGTGTGTGGTGGTGACGAAGGTGGAGGTGGTGGTAGTAGTGGCATCACTAGTGTTGATGGTAGAGGCAATGGTGGTTGTGGCGGTGGGTGTTAGTGGCGGCGGCGGTGGTGGTGATGGATGTCGGTGGTGGTGGTGGTGGTGGTGGGTGCAGGTGGCGGCGACGGTGGTGGTGGTGGTGGTGGCAATAGAGGTAATGGTGGTGATGATAGAGTTAGTAGTAACAATGGTAGTGGTAGGGTGGTGGTGTAGGTGGTAACGGAGGTTATAGGTAGTGGTGGTGGTGGTGATGGTGGTGGTGGTAGTGGTGTCGATGATGGTGATGGTGTTAACGGAAGCGGTGGTAGTGGTGGGTGGTGGTGGCAAAGGTGGTAGCAGTGACGACGACATTAGTGGTGATGGTTAGTGGTGGTGGTGGTGGGTGGGTGGCGGTGGTGGGTGGGTGGCGGAGGTGGTGGTGGTGGTGGGTGGTGGCGAAGGTTGTGGTGGAGGTGGTCGCGAGTAGTGAAGGAGGTTTTTCATATTTAATGCTAAGAATGAAAAGGGTAATATGGTTATCTTCAACATTCTCACTTGAAGGAATTTGAATTTCTCATCTTTTAGATGGAATTTATTTTCCCTCAATGGAAGGAAAGTTTGACACATTTAGGAATCCAATTCATTCTCAAAACTTGAACCAAACATAGGAAAGTGATGGAATTAAATTCCAATTCCTTCCGATTCCAACATATTCCAGCGAACCAAACGACCCCTTATAGTTGTTAACTTTATTGTTGGTCGTTTATTTAACTTCCAATAATTCTAACTAAATGAGGAACCCCGCTTTGCGGGGTATGGATTTGTTAACAATATAGAAAATAAGGGATTATTGATTGATATGGGGTGAATGGGTCATTATTGGACTTAATACACAAACATAAAAATTCCTCACGATTTGATGGAGATCAGTTGTGTGTGGGATACGTCAAAGTAATCCAATGCCACATTTCACCCATTTTAAGTTTGAACTTTCAAAATATCGATCAAAAATTTAACAGGTAACATACAAAGTAAATCATCACTATGAAGATCATAGAAATGGTATGAGCTCAACTGCAAACTTTCCCTTCTTGGTTTCGTTCACTTCTCCTATCTGTACAAATGCAAAACACCAAGGTGTTATTTGACAAAACCAAAAAAATTTGTGTTGTTTCTTTTTTATTTAATAAACATATATATGTGTTTTTTTTTACCTAATACAGAAAAAACGGCTTAACAGAGAAAGTTTGGAAAATGATATGCTTTCCCCATTAAGTCGTGACATTTTACAAAATTCCCCTCATCCAAACAATAATATTTAATAGGAAAAAGACAGTTTTGTGTTATCTAACCTTTAGCCTTCCTTTCCCACTTACAAATATCATATCTCCACTTCTTATAATTTTATTATTCTTCGACAGTCACCCAATTCACACGCACATTCCCATCACCGAAACACAAGGCTCCAAAATTAACGAAAACAATTTTTTTTTTCAAATAATATCAAGAAAATTGTGGTAAGGATTGTACCTAATCAAGGCAACTAATTTTGATCTTGAAATCTTGAATCCTGCAGTTGCTATGGCATCAATCCACATAGAAGCCTCTACTGTTTTGAGCGTTTTAGTCATACAAAAAAGAGCGAGTTTTATGTCAAGTTTATTACCAAAAAAAAATTTAAAAATAAAAAATAGAAAAATACTATTTTTTGTTAATGACCTTGGTGGTTCATATTCAAGGGCAATAATGCAAGCTGACGAATTCAAAAGAAAGTTACAGTTGATGAAGCATTTTAAAAGTAAAAATTACATGTTTGACTATTCACCCAACCAACCTATTTACCATTCTACTTAAAGCATCCGTTATAAAGTAAGCAAGAAACCTCACATTATGCATCAACCATATGCAAAAATCATCAAGTGAAAATGAATGATTTTTAAAGCTGCAAAAAATGCTTACCCTGAAACAGTGACGAATCTAGAACAAAAAATCGCGTGGTTCCTAAATTAAGTGAAGCCAATAAAAAAAATCAACAACATTTTTTGGGGTCGGGTCGGGTTAGGTCATTTACCTTAAAAGAACTGAACCGGTTCAATCGGTTAAAAACGATCAAGAGCCACCAATTAAAAATTTTAAAAACTCATTGAAATATAACTGAAAAACTCATACGGTTTAACGAAAAATTAGTTGATTATTAGTCAATTGATAAAACGGCGAACGAAGAGTGAGAGTCTTTGACATGTGGGCTTCTTTTTATCATAGCAACTTATTTATTTATTAATATATTTTGAGAGTGTCGATTAAGAGTGGTTAACTTTTTGTTATCAGTCTCATAATTTAAAATAACAAATTGCCCCAAATAACTTATATTTTTCTCTTTTTAAAATTGTTTTTTAAGAATTTAAAAAAAAAAAAAAAAAAAAAAAAAAAACAAACTCAATGTAGGTCCTTTGTTTTTTCTAAAATAGTTCCTAGTTTTTTAACTATATACATTGTAAATGAAATTGAGAACCTAGGTAGGTCCTAGGACCTACCTAAGCCCTTGGTGGATACACGTCTGCCCTGAAGTCATCTTTTTTTAGAACTTTCTGTGTTGTTATTTCAATTTATGGCATACGACTGACTGGTTTTGTAAGATCGAGGTCCTACATAATGTACACAATTGAGAATGAGTGATGTAAAAAAGATAGTGAAAACAGTTTAAAGGATAGTTATTCCTGTGGTGTAAAGATTGGTATATAAATTGACCAAAGAAGACATGCATATATGTTGCTCGTGTTTATATTTTGAATTATATAATTTAATTCTAACCATGACATATACATGTAGTAGCTTTTTTATTAACAGTCAGAATGATAAATTGAGAGCGAGTATATAATATGGTAAAAATGAATGGCAAATAACTGATTTCTAAAAAAAAGAACCATTTTTGTTGTATAAACTATACAACTAACAATTTCACCATAACCATTCAAATATTAATGCGAACATCATTTTATTCAGCATTTAACATTTTTGGGGTATTAGATAAAATGTATATATCCCATCCTTTTAAAATGTGTTTTTTTTTATCATGGATTTTCCTAACCATGTAATAATTAAATACAAAAAATGAAAATTAACCCTGTTCTACCCTACCATATTTGGATATTTTTGCAAGCAATTAAAAACATGTTTAAACTTTAAACCATATAAAGATTGTCTTTTAAGAAAATATATGTAAAGTTGATAGTCATTTTTGTCCCTAATAAGTACAATTGGGACCTTTGTAGATTTCTTCAAATTCATAACATGATGTTGGTTTGTTACAAGACAATATAAAAAAGCCGGTAGACTTTTGCTTTGATTCTAACTTCAATACCGTTTTTGGCATCTTCAAGTACAATGCTATTACGGGTGAAAGACAAAGTAGATTAACTATAACGGTAGCGAGAGAATAATACATGGTCATTACCTATATCCATGCCAACCTAAAAATGTAAAACCACATTTTGTTAGAACTCATCATTTTCTCAGGTTTTATGTACGAAAGACATGGAAGCAAAAGAAAATTTGAAATTTCATTCCAATGAAATGAAGCATTTCATTCCTTCCAATATTCCATCATACCAAACAGTGCTTAAACTCTAAAATAAAAACTTCAGTGACTTTTAGCCTAATAACACCCTCCTCCTGCATAAAGAAACATACATTAGTTGTATATATTATATATCATTTTGTCGAACCCCACTCCCATTACATTACCTGAAAATATGCTTCAACATTATGAACTCAAGCCTTTTCAGTTATGACCCGAATTTGGTGCCAATCCAAATGAATCTGAAATCAAAGAAAAAAATGGCATAAGTCAAACAAATTCATTGAAAAGAAGAAAACTTCAAAGTTTGATCGAAGAAATATAAAAGTTGGTAAATAAAATTACTAGAAGTAAAGAATTGCACTTTTTTTTTACTCAATAGCATTACTCAGTCTAATATGGACAATGGACTCTTACACTTCCACCTGTGTCAGTGCCTACACATATAGACAAAAGGGAAAAACGGCCATTTACTCTTGTTTCGTTTAGTCCAAAAAAAAAAACATTCCCTGTAAACTCACCCAAAGAGAAATCAGCAACTTTGTCACTAACTGCTACACAGAGCCAGTTGAAGATCCACCAGGAACACGATCTGGTTATTAAACCGAAAGGATTAATCAAATAATTTGTGATTTCCTGCTTTAATCTACATTTGTTCATCTGTTGCAAACAATTGTGGACGAGTTTGCCCTTGTTATCATTTAGCATCATTAAAATGGAAGAGCACATGCACCTTGTAGTTTGGGAAATATATACAGTTGAATACTTGCAAATATAATGTTATTCATCTGTAAGAGAAACGACCCAAAGTTAATTTTGGTAGTTATGTTTTCTAAGGTTGCTACTGAGACAAACAAAATTGATCTCGGCTAGCTTTAAAAAACAAAGAACATAGTCAAAATGGTGAATGTTTGAGAATCTGAGAAAGAATTAGCAGTCAAAAACTCACTATTGAAACACACACATACACACTAACATATTTGAGTATAAGAAAACAGATTCAAATATACAATGAGTATGAAAAAGGCAAACCTTTTTGTCAATTTGTTCAGATTCATCGTTAGTAGCCTTGGAATCTACTCTTTCAGCAATCAATTAGCCTCTTAAACACAAACCTTCATCTCCTTCCATCTTTTTATCACTGAAATAAGAAACACGCATGTCATTTTAATGATATCAGAGATGAGAGAGAGAGTAGATTTTGCGATCAAGATGAAAGAGTTGCTAAAGAAACTAATGACTACTAAAAAAATGAAAGCCCTAATTTTGAGAAAACGGTAATTCGAGGAACGGGGACCATTTTTGGGTGTAGGGATTACAGAATCGGACAGGATTCTGCAATTTGTTGTGTGCGACGATGGAATCCGTGGTAGAAGAACGTTTACGGCACCGACCATGGAAGCGGATTCACGACGAATAGGTGGGAATGGAGTCGATGATCAGCCGGCTTCGAATACGTCGCAGTCGATGTTTCCCTATGGATGGTCGATGAAATCCAAATGAAGAAGAAAAGAGAGAAGCTGTCGAATGTAGAGGATAGGCTGCAATAACGTTGAAAAGGAAATAGAAATGAGAGAAGAAGAATCGAGTAAGCTGATTATCCAACGGTTGTCATATGGTGAAGATGGATGCTAAATCAAACTCAAATAGAAAAGAAAATCATACCGCTTCAATTAATTTAGAAGACCATACAGTAGATGGAAGAGATTGATGAACGGAGAAGACCATACAGTAGATGGAAGAGATTGATGAACGGTGGAAAAAGAGGTGGGGTGAATCCTTTGGTGCCTCTAGTTTTCGTGTCTCCGTTTTCTTGTTGTGGTTTCTTCATTGCTTTCGGATAGAGAGACCACCGGTGAAGTTAGGGATAAAAAGAACAGCCAGGGAGGGCGACGCAGATGTCACAGGAAACCGGTGATGGAAGCATCGAATGGAGCCGGTGATGGAAGGTAGATTATTTGAGGCGGTGGACAGGTGAAATTAGGCGGTGGACAGCAATCCAAAGGTGATTGGGGAAAAACGGTGGACATAACTGTGAGGAAACACGTGTGAACACCTGACCAAAAAGAATGGGAAAAATGGCATAAAATGCCCCCACACAAAAATGAAGCTCGAAGAGAACAGATAACCATAAAGACTATTTTGCAAAAAAAGTATTAAGTTTAATATTCCTAAGTTGAGACATTTTTAATATATATATATATATATATATATATATATATATATATATATATATATATATATATTACAATAAACAATCTCTTACCAAGTGTTCTGCTTATAAAAAACGTAAATATTTATAAAGTAGAATAGTAGTTCTCATTCTTGACGCAAACAAACGGATGACACATAATTTTCGTCACCCATCGTCCAAAGCACCAAGTCTCGAAAGCATGTTTTCGAAGCCAGTTGTTCATCCCTTGAAGGAAATTCAATAACTAACGTTTATGGGAGACATTCTAAACCATACTTATTTAGATACCCCTGTCTCACCTTTGTCGTCCCTTCCTAAGACTTTGGACAAGTTTCAATCTCTGATTCCTAATTTCAAACCTATCATTGTTACATGTCCTGATTTCACGCCTCTTCTGCCTCTGATATCCCTGGACCTGAATCGGTCTTCAGAATCTTTCCCTGACATCGACTGTACTAGAGCTCAGTTTCCGAACTTAGATCCACCAAACAATTGTGTTATTGATGAAATTATTCCCGAGACAGATGGACATGACTCTGACAAATCCGAATTTGTTTGGGCGACATATGATAGTGATGTAGATGAGGAAATGTTATGTGATAACTCATCCGACTCTTGTATCTCTAACTCTGATGTGATATCGAAATCGACTCTAGTGCCAATTAAGCCAAGTTTCAACAATCCATCAACCGGACAAACTTCCAAGTTATCATCTAACTCTCGGAAGAAACCCTGGTTGAACAAGAAAGATATTGTTCATTCAAAGACCGAAGCTAGGAATACACTTAAGAAAGAAACTAGGTCTAGGAAATCCTCTAGATTCATTGAGAAACCAGAGAAGAATGTATCTCAAAAGCCAATCCAACTACTATGAATCACAATGCCTTCATGCCTGTTAAGATCCTTTAGACGCCAGCTAATCCTGCTAGTTCGAATGTTCAGAACAAATCTATTAATGGTTGTATAAAAAAGGTCACTGTTGATACCGACTCTCCTCAGACAGTTTCTTCTCTTGTGTTTATTGCTAAATCTGATGGCATGATTTTCAAACCAAAACAATTTCCAAAAACTAATGTGCCTTCGAAAGCAACAAACAAAGGAGAAGTTGCTAGGAAAACTGTTGTTCAAAAATCTTCCAAAGACTTAAAACAAAAGTTTTAATTGAAAGTGAAAAAGTCTGAAAACACAACTGTAACATCTACGAACACAGTCACTCCTTCAACATCTCAGAAAACAGTTCCTCTTAGAAAATCAATATTCAATCAACCATTGGTTGAATATGATTTTTGGATAAATGAAAAGACCATGACATTCTGCTTCTTTCCAAAAGAATCTCGAAAAAAGCCTTCCGAAATTCTATATGCTCAGAAATCACAAATAAAGTTCAAAACCCATGCCAAAGTCCCTAAATATAACTCGGAGCCTAAAAACTCCAAATCTCACTAATTTTGCAAGCATTTTGTGCTTCGAAACAAGATACAATATGGTATATTCATAGTGCTTGTTCCATGCAAATGACTGGGCAGAAAGACAATTTGTGTGCTCTGAAGCTCGCTCCTAATGCTAGTTGCATAACATATGGCAATCATGGTTGTAGAACTCGCTGCTCGATACCTGTTTGGCCGACTACCGAGTAGCGAGTACTCGGGAATACTCAGATTCGGTAATTCATGTAGAAATATTTTTAGGGAAATTATATATGTCAAAATCATAAGTTAAAACCATAAGTTGATTGAAATATATAACAAAATTATATACATATGTGTGTATTTAGTAATAATCACATGTGTGTATGTTAAATAATAAATCATTAAGTATATCATACATATTAATCATTGAGTTGGTCGAGTTTTACAACACTTTTCGCTTCAGTAAGGGGTCGAGCGGGGAGTACTTGGATTTTGTAACTCGCCTCGGTAAGGGGCCGAGTAGGGAGTAGTCGGATGAGTAATCGGCCAACTCGGCGAGTTTTACAACATTGATGGAAATAATTCAAATTCACAAATTCGAGGTTATGGTGTCTTGACCAACAAAAACTTCTTTGTCTCTAATGTGGCGTATGTGGCTGATCTCAAGCATAATCTGATCAGTGTGGCTGAACTCACTGATGCAAACCGAAGAGTTGAATTATGCAAGAAGCATAGATACGTTATGATAGGAGTACGGAAAGAGTGTCTCATCAAATCTGATTGCATCAAAAACATGTATCCTTTAGACATCAACGTGATTATCGGAAAGCCCCAACTTTGTCTTCTTTCAAAGGTCATGCCTGACGTAAGTTGGCTATGGCATCGGAGGCTCGCTCATCACAACTTCCGATACATGAATGATCTAGTTTCCGGTGAAATGGTTCGATGTCTGCCACTGCTCAAATTCGAAAATGATCATCTCTGCGTTGCTTGTGAATGTGGAAATAAATCAAAGAAATATTATCCTGTCATCATTGAAAAGTCCATTTCGGATCCACTGGAACGTCTTCATATCGATTTCTGTGGACCATCAACCGTAGAAAGTCTACATCTCAAAAAGTATATTCTTGTGATTGTTGATGACTACACAAGGTTCACTTAGGTCTTCTTCCTTGGGCTAAAATCTGAAACTGCCTTTGAACTCATAAATTTCATCAAAGGAGTTGAAGTTCGTGTCAAACTTCCTGTTAAAAGAATCCGGAGTGATAATGGCTCCGAATTTACAAATGCCACCATTGACAAATTCCTCACCGACAAAGGCATCGAATACAATCTCTCAGCTCCCTACACTCCTCGGAAAAATGGTGTGGTTGAAAGAAGAAACTGAACTCTTGTTTAGGTCGCTCGATCGATGTTGAACTATGAAAATCTTCCTCTCTATCTCTGGGTCGAAGCCTTCTCCACTGTTTGCTTCACCCAAAATCGAAGAATCATCAATCGTCATCTCAACATGATACCGTACGAAGTAATGAATGGTCGCAAGCCGAGTATCTCGTTCTTACACGCTTTTGGTTGTTGATGCTTTATTAAAAACAAACGTGATCAACTCACCAAGTTTCTACCAAAAGCCGATGAAGCCATCTTTTTGGGATACTCAGCCAAGTCTAAAGCTTACAGAGTTCTAAATCGTAGAACTCATGTACTTAAAGAAAGCTATGATGTCACTTTTGATGATAATTTTATTCGATATTCAGATCCTGCTCATGTCACCACTGATATCATGGAGTTCAATGCTCCACTTCCTAGGTCTCCGAATCCTCAAATTATCCATGAAGTTGATTTCGAACGCTTGTTAAGACCAATAAAGACTGCTCTTGATTTGGAATCTTGACCAAGACGCTCCTCATCAACTGAAGCTTTGATCTCTCAAAATGTCTCTGGTCTGACCCCAACCTTTCCTCCATTTGATTCCAATCCATTTTAACCTTATCAGGTTGAGGGGGAGAATAGTCATCCAACCCTTGAATCAAATATTGATGGATTTCAAGATGCAACAGATCAATTCACTGAATTTGATCCCATTTCGAACAACAACGAAAACGATTCTAACTTCTTTGACTTTCCGAACTATGACGATATCGACATATCCGGTTTAGAAATTCAGGGGGAGCATCATCCTCAAATTCAAACTATTCAGGGGGAGCAACACAACCACATTGTTCATATCCGGTCATCCGTTGCACAAGACCTTCCGAGATTGTATATTTGGACAAAGGATCATCCTCCAAATCAAGTCATTGGAAATCTCAACGCTGGTGTTCAAACTCATTCTGCTACTAATATTGAAAATGAGTGTCATTTCTAGGCATTCATATCAATGACCGAACCAAAGTCCATCAAGGATGCTTTGGAACATGCTGATTGGATTATAGCCATTCAAGAACAGGTAGCAGAATTTAATACAAATCAAGTGTGGACTTTCGTCCCTCCTAATCATGATCACCCTATTTTTGGTACAAGATGGGTCTTCCGAAACAATCTCGACGACGCCGGAGACCTTCCGAGATTGTATATTTGGACAAAGGATCATCCTCCAAATCAAGTCATTGGAAATCTCAACGCTGGTGTTCAAACTCATTCTGCTACTAATATTGAAAATGAGTGTCATTTCTAGGCATTCATATCAATGACCGAACCAAAGTCCATCAAGGATGCTTTGGAACATGCTGATTGGATTATAGCCATTCAAGAACAGGTAGCAGAATTTAATACAAATCAAGTGTGGACTTTCGTCCCTCCTAATCATGATCACACTATTTTTGGTACAAGATGGGTCTTCCGAAACAATCTCGACGACGCCGGAGTTATAACCAGAAACAAAGCGATATTGGTGGCCAAAGGATTTCCTCAGATCGAAGGACTCGACTACAACGAGACTTTTGCTCCTATTGAAGGGATCCGAATCTTTCTCTCTTATGCTGCTCACAAAGGCTTTAAAGTTTACCAAATGGATGTTAAAAGTTCATTTATCAACGGTAAACTTGATACCGAAGTGTATCTTCAACATCCCCTGGATTTGTAAATCTATCATATCCAAACTACTGTTACAAACTTCAAAAAGTTGTTTATGGCCTTAAGCAAGATCCACTCACTTGGTACGAGACTCTCACCGATTTTCTGAAGCGTTCAGGTTTTCAAAGAGGAATTCTTGATCCTACATTATTCCGAAGATAAAATGGAAACCATCTCATGTTAGTTCAAATATATGTTGACGACATCATCTTTGGATCTATGGATTCAATAACGGTTGATGATTTTGCAAAGTTAATGGTTAGTCGATTCTAAATGAGCATGAATTATGAATTAAGTTTCTTTCTCGGTCTACAAGTTAAGCAAACCAACGAAGGAATATTTATTCATCAGGAGAAATACATCTCCGAACTTCT